TACCCCTTATTTTACACTCACTCCTCTGCCATCCTGAGAGGATTTATGAAAAGATATCTATTAAAAAATATTTATGAAAAATTATTTTTGTTTTACTTAGTTGCCCTAGGATGGAATACAAATGTTTCCTATAGCTTTAAGGATCCTGTAATGCTCCCAGTCCTATAAAGCATTAAATTCAAGGTAGCAAATGTGTGGAGTTATTGATGGAGAAGGGACAAGAGTGCTGTAGGTGGAGAGCGAGGAGGGTAGGGCAGGAGTTCGTGGGAACAACAGTGGGGTGAAGAGAGTGATGGGCAAGGGAAGATGGTGAGGATAGGTATTGAGGAGTCCTGGTGGCCTAAGGTCTGATTATAGAAGTTACTCAAAAAGAACTGATGCCTGAACAAAGCTAGTGTGTGGTTATAACAAAGACCCATTACAATTGCCATTGTTTGAATGTACAGAAATAATGGGAGGTGGGTCATCATGCACTGATTTCTCAGCTATCTTTGGAATAATGCCCTCCCATTGACTTCTCCCATATCCATAGTGACTTCCTCAGTGGGACTACGAATTGATTTTTGAGGACAAATCTCTTAAATCTAATAGGTCTTTGGCCTAACCTCCCCACCCCAATATCTCAAGATTCTGGTAAATTGGAAAATAAGAGTTCATCCATTCATCCATTGATGGACATTTGTGAAGAAGGGACTCTGGACAACTAGAGAAGTATTAAGAAAACTCCTGTGTTCTAATGTTACTCTTGTTTTGAATGAACTCATTCACTAACTTACTAGATTTATTTCTGATGCTTACTCCACTTCTCATTTTTCATCTTGAATGATTGCTTGGATGTATGGACAGAAATCCAACCAAGGTCAGTTGAGTGGAAAGTCCAGCAATGTTACTGGGACTCAGTTTAATTTTTTTTTTTTAACAGGAATTTATTTCTCACATTTTTGGAGGCCTGGAAGTTTAAGATCAAGATGCTAGCCAGTTTAGTTCCCCAGTGAAAGCCCTGTTTCTGGAAGGCTGGTAGATGACTGCCTTCTTGCTGTTTCCTCACATGGCAGAGAGAGAGAGTGGAAGCAAGGTCTGTGGTGTCTCTTAATATAAGGGCACTAATCCTATCATGAGGGCCCCACCCTCATGACCTTACATAAACCTAATTATTGCAAAAGCTCCATCTCCAAATACCATCACTTTGGAGGTTATAGTTTTCAGTATATGAATTTTGAGGGGGCACATTTCAGTCTATAGCATAATCTAAAATGTATTCTCTTGAATTGGAGGACTAACTTAACACTTAGGAATAGAAGAGTGATATAATTATAGTGGTGTTTTAAGTTCCATTTTGTGGTGGTATGTTATATAAATTTGAAGGCCACAAAGAAGAGAGCAGTTTGGAGTTTAGTACAGATGTACAAACATGAAGTAACCAGTAGACCTCAACCTAGAAGTTGGGGCCTGGGATGGGGGGAATTAATAGGAATGGAAATAAAAGGTAGTTAGAATGAGCAATGCCCTAAAAGTTAATTAGAATCACTTATAAGGTACTTCAGCATTTGATGGGAGGTGAGGGAGGTTTGAATAGGTTTAAAAAACAGATGAGAGTAAAATAAAAAATGAATGCAATGAGACACTTCAATTCTTGGAGACTAAGCAGTTAACAGCACCATCATCAGAGATAGGTGTGCATTAAGTCAGCGTTCTAGTGGAAAGAACACAAAACTAGAACTTAGGAATTATCCATTTTAGTGTGAACTCTGTCTATATAAACCCTCCATATAACTTTAGGTAAATCATAAAGTTTTTTGGGCTTTAAAAATTTGTCCTCAGATAAATGTGATGGCATTATTAGTTGTCAGATTATTTTATGATTTCTGTGATATTGGAGAATATTAATAATTTTGATTTAGAATTTTTTCTCTAGACAGGATGTTAGGGGATGCTTTAAAAATTACCTAAAAGATACAGCTATTAATGTATCTATAATAAGTTAAATTTAAAAATTGAAAAACAATTACCCAGAAGATAGTTACTAGAAATGTAGAAGTGATCCTGAGAAGAAGGTTGGATTTGGGCATGGGTTCTCCCATGGGACATTTGTTAAAACCTGGTTCCATTTTTGGTTGCCATAACTGGGGTATTGCCACTGGTATCTAGTAGATAGAGGCCAGAGAGGCTGCTAAACATTCCACAATGCACCCAATAGCCCAACAAAGAATTACCAGGTCCAAAATGTCAGTAGTGCTTAGGTTGAGAAACACTGGGCTAGGTGGCATCATCCTGGAGTTAGGGGATTGAAACTGGGTATATATATGTGTGTGTGTATGTATATATATATATATATATATATATATAGACAGACTAAACCAATTTTAGTTAACTCCAAAGAGCAATGTTTTCAAATCTGCCTTGTATTTTTTCTGGCATTACAAATATACTAATTATCTATTTGATCTTAGTTTTGAAGTTGTAAATTATTATTCATGACATACCAGTCTGCATGCTTTATGCATTTACCCATTGTGTACTCAGTGCTTGGCACAGTACCTGACCAAAATTGGGCAAACAAAATATAGTTTTAGAATAAGTGAGGAAAAGAATAAATCATTTTTATTATGCTTAATATTATGGTTTTAAATTCTCTTCCAAGGTGATACACATGTTTATAAGAGTAAGTACCATCTATATGTTTCAAAATTAGATACTGATATCTTAATTAAAATTAATAGCATATGCATGGCACATATTAGATGCCAGTTTAATTTTTATGGGTTGGATTATGCTGGTTTGAAAGGTCTACATTGAGCTGCAATGAATCCTGATATGTTTTCAGAAATTAGAACCATAGTTTAAAGTACCTACATTTTGCTAGCTTTAGACCAGTTTTTCAAATCACTAGTACAGTAGTGACCCATTGATGAGACTTAATTGATTTTGTGGGTCATAGTCAATTTAAGAAAAATGAAATAGAAAATATTAGAATGTATCCCATGTAGTAAAGGCAATTATTACTTATGTATCTGTGTTTGTGTAATGGGATTCTAGATAACTTTTTTTTTAACTCTTTGTTGTGGTCATGTGTTTGTAGAAAGCTGGCAGCTTTAAGTCCTTTATTGGCCTATAGAATGTCCCACTTGGGCAAAGGTCTCAGAGTAAATTCATAGAAATGTGGAGTTAATAGAGCATAATCTTCTATATGAATAAAGGATCTTATTAAGGAGAGCTACACTATTTATTGATTCATTTAACAAGTTCTGTAGTTGTTGAGCACCTGTCCTATGCCAGATACTGTTGTTTGTGCTAGGTATACAACAGTTAAGGAAAGATACAGTCCCTGCCCTTTGAAGTTTACATTCTACAGGATGGAAAATAGAAAAGGATGAAGATAAATAAGTAAAGATTATAATATATTAAATGGTTTGATATGGTTAGATACGGTTTGAAGGTGAAAAAGAAGGGAAGAGAGATTAAGAATGTGAATTATATGTTGGTTGGGATATTTGAGAACCTCACTGAGAAGAATACTTGGAATATAGTCCTGAAGGCAGTGAGGAGCTAGCTATGCAGCTATCTGAATGAAGATCATTCATATTAGAGGGAATAAGATAGAGCTTAGTGTGTTGAAGAAATTAGGAGTGTGCTAGAGTGAAGTGTGTTGGGGAGAGGAGGAGTATGAGATAATTGCAGGGCAGTATGTGGGGTTGGAAATGTGGTCTGCTAGGCGTTGGAAGGACTTGGCCTTTTGCTCTGAGTTAATCAGAAAGCCATTCAAGGGTTTTGAGCTGAGTGGTGCTATGATTTGACTTGATTTAACAGAATCATTCTGCCTGCCACGTGGAGAAGAGATTTACTTAGGTGGACTGAAGTAGGAAGCCCTGTTGTATTTAAGTTCATTGAGAAGTCAGGACTGGAGGGAGAAATTTAGGAGACACGAGTGAATGAATAATAATTAAGGCCATGAGTTGGGATGAGATTATCAGAGTTCATTCCTAATTTGTCTGCCTGGCATGTTCTAAGCATTTGACATAACACTATGCTGTTTGTTGGCTATGTGTGGGTACTCTTAACTCTGTACACTTGATACCTCTTTTCTGTATTCATAATTATGAAATTAGTTTTATGAACCAATGGAGATATGTGCATTTAATATAATTTTCTTCCAGTTCTACAAAACAAGCTGCCACTGAATAGTTGGTGCTTTTTAAAAATAGCTCTTAGAAGGGTTGGGTGTGGTATCTTACACCTGTAATGCTGGCACTCTGGGAGGCCAAGCAGGAGGATTGCTTGAGGCCAGGAATTCCAGACCAGCCTGAGCAAGAGCAAGACTCCATCTCTACAGATATAGAAAAATTAGCCAGCTCAGTGGCACATGCCTGTAGTCCCAGCTACTTGGAAGGCTGAGGCAGGAAGATTGCTTGAGCCCAGGAGTTTGAGGTTGTAGTGAGCTGTGATGAGACCATTGCACTCTAGCCTGGGTAATAGAGTGAGACTCTGTCTAAAAAAAGAAAAAAGGAAAAAAAAAAAAACCCAAAAACTCCTGTTACATTAAGTTTAAGAAATAACAATTTTTGCTTTTAAGATACCAAAATGTATTTAAAAGTAAAAGACTTGCTAAATAAGATGCAGTTTTTGTGTGGCAGTGGCAGACAGAGGGTTCCAGCATAATCTTGTTTAATCTTCCCTAACTCCACAGCCCTTGTTTCTAAACACTGCACAATGGCGCCTTTGTAAAAATACTTGTCTTTTCCATATGATTTTTGCCTAGTGATTAGTTGCTGGAGAATTTTTTTTTTTTAAAACGTAAGAGATCATAATTTGTATAGGGCAAAGCTATGATTCTGGAGTTGTAGTGATCTGGGCTTACGGGTTTTAAACTGTTATTTATCATCTTTGAATCTTAGTTACTTTGTCCGTAAAATAGCAATGTTTATAATTACTTTAGTGTTTTGAAGGAGAATTAGATAATGCATTTTTCTGTACTTACTGATGTATAGTGTGTTTGTACTTAGGTGGCAGTTTATATAAAGGAAGCACTGGGACTTGTGGCCACACCCTTCAAGAATAAAAAAAATTAGAAAATGGAACAACCATATGTGTTATGTGACGAAGAACAAGAGCCAGAACCACAGAAGAACATAAAAGAAACCAAGCAAGTAGATGATGAAGATGCTGAGCTAATCTTTGTTGGGGTGGAACATGTAAATGAAGATGCTGAGCTCATTTTTGTTGGGGTGACTTCAAATTCAAAACCAGTTGTCTCAAACATTTTGAACAGAGTCACCCCGGGTTCATGTTCAAGGAGAAAAAAGTATGGTCGCCTTAGAAAGGATACTGCTCACAAATTGCAGCCTACAAGTCACGTGATGCCTGCATCAGGAGCAGTGAGTGTTCTGCCAGCTTCTCAGTCTGAATCAAGATCAACAGATAGTCCTATTATTATTGAGCCTTTGTCTAAACCCAATTATAAAAATAGTTCACCGCAAGTCGTGCCTAATAGCTCTTCAGAATTATGTTCTCCCTTGATTACATGCACAAGCTCATTGCATCATCCAGTAAGAGAAGCACTTTCGATAGAAGGTATGAATGAAAGTCCATGTGTATCAAAGCGACTTTCCACTTCTGAAGTAAATGGCATAAGTCCCAAAAGGGCTAAACTCAGGGATGGAATCACAGAGGGAGATTCTTCAGCTGTGTCCCCTTCAGGTATCTTTCATACAGTGAATACTCAGCAAAGTACACCCTTAGACGATGTTCATACCTCATTAAGCCATGTTCAGAATGGAGTCCCTTTTCCAACAGCTTTTCCAAAGGACAGTATGCATTGCAAGCCTATAAATGCAAATCTGGATAGGGAAAAGGGATTGGCACAAACAGACTTTTCAACTCTAGCAACTCAAAACCAGACCTTTGATCCCAAGAAAGGAAATCTGATCATGTTGCTTAGTGACTTTTACTATGGACAGCATAAAGGAGATGGGATGCCAGAGCAGAAGACCCACACAACCTTTAAATGTCTCAGCTGCTTGAAAGTTTTAAAAAATGTTAAGTTTATGAATCACGTGAAGCACCATTTGGAACTTGAGAAGCAGAGGAGCGATAGCTGGGAAAACCACACCACGTGCCAGCACTGCCACCGGCAGTTTCCCACTCCCTTCCAGCTGCAGCGTCATATTGAAAGTGTGCACACTACCCAAGAGCCTGCAGCTGTCTGTAAAATCTGCGAGTTGTCATTTGAAACAGATCAGGTCCTCCTACAACACATGAAGGACAATCATAAGCCTGGCGAAATGCCCTACGTGTGCCAGATTTGCAATTACAGATCGTCAGTCTTTGCTGATGTGGAAACGCATTTTAGAACGTGCCACGAAAACACCAAAACTTTGCTTTGCCCATTTTGTCTCAAAATTTTCAAAACTGCAACACCATACATGTGTCATTATAGGGGGCACTGGGAAAAGAGCATACACCAGTGTTCTAAGTGCCGGCTACAGTTTTTAACTTTCAAGGAGAAAATGGAGCACAAGACCCAGTGTCATCAAATGTTTAAGAAGCCTAAGCAACTAGAAGGTTTGCCTCCTGAAACAAAAGTTGTTATTCAAGTGTACCTGGAACCTCTTCAGTCAGAATCAGTGGAAATAGCATCCATTACCGTGAGCACATCTGACTCTGAACCATCACCTCCCAGGTCTAAAAGTAGAATTTCAAAAAAAAAAAACATTAATGCTACTTGCAGTAAATCTAAAATATTTCAAACCAAATAAAACTATGCCATAAAAACAAAAAATACAAACCATACATTAATTTTCAATAGCATCAAAAATAATGTAACTAATGGATTATATGTTTTTAAAAAAATTATGGCATACAATATTTGATCTGAATTTTGAGGTGTTATTTAAAAATATATTATCTGTTTTTCAGGTTAACTGTATCTGGTTTAACACATAAAAGGTGTGTGTGTGTGAATGAGAGAGAGAAAAAACCTATTTATTATTGTGGTATTTCATGTTACTCCTAAGCTTGAAAGCTCTTTCTTCTATTAACATATATAGAATTCTTAAGAGTTTTTGAAATAATTTTAACTGTTTCCATGTGTTAAAGATTTCACTGTGTTAACTCTAGTCAGACTGGAATGGATTTCTTATGGCCTGGCCCGTTTGCTGCTAAACTCCTAGAAGTGCCTCTGCTGTGCTGGCATAAACTAATCTGACTCTGAAAGTCTGCTGTGCAGTTGAGGGAGAAGCTGTGGAATGAACAGAGACCGGGAAGGTGAGGTTAGATAAGGGAGAGTCCGATTTGAGGGATAGGCACACATTTACTCTGGTCTTGGAGCCAGTGCAGAAGGAAGACTGTGTCAGAGTGTCTTTACCTAATCCTGATCCAAGAACATCTGGGGAAGCAAAACCATTCAAAGTAAAATGCCTGTATTTGGTGAGGGGCCTCTGTAGAAATCAAACAGCTGCTGTGTATCCACTGGTTTCAGGTGAAGAAGCAGTGGTAATTAGTAGAATGAGGCCTGGTGCTAGCAGAATTCCTGTTGTGTAATCTAAAGGTGAATTCGATTTATTCCTTCCCCTCTTCCTCTTAGCTAGTTGTTGGTGGAAAATGAACTGACCATAAATCTCTCAGCCACAGCAGTAAAGCAAGTTAAGTTTCCCAAGGGAAAAGAGTCCTGGCATCCGTAGTTTGAACTCTACTGGACCCAGCGTTTTAACTGAAAAGGGCCAAACAAATGGTATCTGTCCAGTTTGTGGACTGGGCTAAATTTAGTTCTCCCATTGTTAAGCTGGAATGGGATTTGTCAAAGAACAGTAGATATAGTGGACAAAAACAGCCCAGGGTGACTAACATTAAACCCATGATAGCGCTTTATATTTTTCTGTGCGCGTGTCTCTTACCCTAATTGAATATGTGAAGCTCGCGATTTCTTGGATGTGAATGTATTGCAGCTAATATTTTATGTATAATTTCCCAATTTATCACACTAATACTGTTTGGGTCTTACCAGTGTGCAAGGTATGTCCCATACTTCAGTAAGTATTAAGTCTTAGGCTAGTCTATACTACGGGGGAACCTTTTTACCAAATGCCCTCCCCAAGGGCTCTTTCACAGAATTGTTGAGTACATTTTGAGTATTGGTTCTTGAACGTCAGTGGCCTTGACTGCCTCTGGTTCCCAGGGTTATCTCCCTGGACATGTTCTAGTGCCATCCTTGGTTCCTTCAACTCCAACCCAGGTGCCTGCTGCTCAGCAATCTCTGTTCACCAGTTGAGGAATCTAGCATCTTGGCTATAGACAGAGGTCTGGAGAAATCTTTTTTTCCTTGCTTTCTGCGCCTTAAAGATAACACCTCTCCCCCACTCCTTTCTTTCCTCCTCAATATAGTTAAATTTGCTAAGCTTTCAAAAAATCTGGGAAGAGATAATCATCAAGGGCATAGTATCCTTCTTAGAACTAGGGGAGGAGGAACTACAGACAACAAAGAAGTTGTGGGTATAGTGTCCACATTTTAGATACTTTCCTGACTGTAGATTCATAGATTGTTATATTTATTTGCCCAATCCTTGCTTGCTTAATTGATCAGCACCTTGAACATTTTACTAGGTAGGCCTTTGCAATTCCTTTGTTTGGGTCAAGACAGTTTGCTACAATTTCAGCCTAAAACTTTTTCTTTAGGTGTAGAAAGGGTGTTGTGTGTGTGTGTTTGTGTGTGTGTATTCCTTCCACTTGTTCTGATCTCAGGTGGATACTCCTACTGTGTATAAATAGATCTGCAGATTTTTGGATACTTACCTCCGTTATTGTGTTTCTGTGGTAAAAATATGAAATGCTTTAGGTCTATGTTTTTGTGATTGCTTGGTATTAACACTATTACTGTTGTTTGCTATTTCATTAAAGCATGCTCCTAAGGAGTACAAATTGTCATTAATTGCCAACTGTGGATTCCAGTGATCTGGCCCCTTCCTACCAACTCTCTTTTCTATTTTCTGCCATGCTTCACTGCCATTTCCCTTCCCTGCCCCATGGATTATTTTCACACACTGGCCTTGTTATTCCTTAAGCAGATCACGCTTCTTCCTGATCCAAAGACTTTGCACATGCTATTCTCTTAGAATGTCCTTCCCCTAGGCCTGCATGGCTTGCTACCTCACTTATTTGACACTTCCTTTGGTTCCTTGAACTTCACCAGGTTCTTAGAATGACACAATGAAATCTCCTTCTTTTTTTGTAACCTTACTTGCTCCTCCCTAAAGGCACTTTACCTTTCCCCACTCTTCTTTTCTAGTCTAGTTAAATTTCCTAGGTTTTTGTGGAAAAGCTGGGAAGAGATCATCATCAAGGGCTTGTCTTAGAATTGAGCTAGCTTAAGTCAATTTCTGTGCCTGCAACCGAAAGAAAATTAATGTAGTGAGTTGAGTTCTTTCAGGAGCTTTCTCTGTTTTTCTATTGATACCTCTCTATTTTTTTAAGACAATGTCACTTTGTTTTGTTTACAAATATATTGAATATGTCAAGATTACTATTTTGTGATTACCCTTTGTGAATTTCCTTGTCTATTTTGCTTCTTTCAGATAAAATTTATTATTTTATTAATGTTGCCAAAAATTATAAGTAAGTAAAATAGAAATTATTGTAATAAAGTGTTTTGTGAAAAAATGTTTTTGCTGTTTTGTCTATCAGTAACATGATATGTTTCTAGTTTTTTAAAATTTTTATTCAGAATTGCTATGTAAACTCTTTGCCTTCTTGACAGTTGTGTTTGTTTTTAGTCTTATTGCATTGGCTGGAGCTTTGTTGATATGTATGATGGAGTTAATGGGTTTACTTGTTCTTGGTTTTAATGAGAAATGATTTACCATTAAAGGTAATGAGTATATTGCTTAAAGACTTTCTATTTCTATTTTTAGAATCTTTAAAGGGAATCGCTTATTTTTATTGGGTAGTTTACAACATCTGTTGAGACAGTCCTTTACTTTTCTTTACTAACTTAGCTTTTTACTTGGCTGCATTCACAACTCTCCTGTTAGAAACATTCCATTACTGAAGCAAAAGTAGTTCCATTTGGGGTAGAATATTATTTTCATTACTGATAATCCTATTCCCTTTCTCATTTCTAATATTAAAGTGTATTTCTTCTTCCTCTCATTAGATTTTTCCAGGTTTTAGCAATGTTTCTGATTTACTTTTTCTTTTTCTTTTTTTTTTTTTTGAGACAGAGTCTCACTTTGTTGTCCAGGCTAGAGTGAGTGCCGTGGTGTCAGCCTAGCTCACAGCAACCTCAAACTCCTGGGCTCAAGCGATCCTCCTGCCTCAGCCTCCCGAGTAGCTGGGACTACAGGCATGTACCACCATGCCTGGCTAATTTTTTATATATATATCAGTTGGCCAATTAATTTCTTTCTATTTATAGTAGAGACGGGGTCTCGCTCTTGCTCAGGCTGGTTTTGAACTCCTGACCTCGAGCAATCCACCCGCCTCGGCCTCCCAGAGAGCTAGGATTACAGGCGTGAGCCACCGCGCCCGGCCTAAGATAAAAGACATTATTAAATATATACCCACTCTAAACAGTATTACTCATTTACTAAAAGTTGATAGGAGCTATGGCAGTACAAAATTTTATTTGGTTATAATGTAAAATGAGAAAGCAACATACAAAGATAAGTACTTTGTGCTTGCAGTTACTCATGGTAATATCCATGAAAAAGAATGAGAAAATACTAAATGCAATTGAGTTTACTTAATTTTACAGTGATTACTTTTTCTTTCAAATGTTCTATAAATAATTGAGTTATTTTGTCTTTGAAAAGCATTCATCATTTAAATAGAAGAAGAAAAGTAAATTCCATTTCAGTGGGTAGCCCCTCTTAAACTCTTTCCCTCCTGGTTACAAGATTGAAATGGAATAATGAGCAGTGTGTGGCAAGACTGCTACCAAGACACGAGAGTCTTTCTTAACTTGAGTGCAAGCATTAGCAAACTATGGTCTTTAGGCTCAGTGTTTAAATTTTTAAAGTATTGCTAAAGAGAGAAGGAGAGCCAGAGACCCATATGCACCCTGCAAAGCTTAAAATATTTACTACCTGACACTTAATGAAAAAAGTTTGCTGATCCCTACTCTAGGTTATGAGTTATGACTTAGACTTATCTGTACACCCCCCTGTATTCCTGTGTGTGGGTTAGTGGCTTAGAAACACTTTGGATGTGAATGGGAGTGGGCTCTGTAATTCCTTTATCCTACGCAGTGATAAGGAGTCCAAAGCAGTGGAAAAAGATGAAATGTCTAGAAAATGACAAAATAGGAAATCTCTGAACGGTGTGTGTGTATACATGCCAAAGCTTCAATACCATTTTTCCATGTTTTTTTTTTTTTTTTTGAGACAATCTCACTGTGTGCGTTGCCCAGGCTAGAGTGCCGTGGCGTTAGGATAGCTCACAGCAACCTCAAACTCCAGGTCTTGAGCAATACTTCTGCCTCAGCCTCCCAATAGCTGGGACTACAGGCATGTGCCATCATGCCTGGCTAATTTTTTTTATATGTTTAGTTGTCTGGCTAATTTCTTTCTATATTTAGTAGAGACAGGGTCTTTCTCTTGCTCAGGCTGGTCTCAAAGTCCTGACCTCGAGCTGTCTTCCTACCTCAGCCTCCCAGAGTGCTAGGGTTACAGGCGTGAGCCACCACACCCGGCCTTTCCATGTTTTTTGATGAGTGGGATTGTGTGCTTCTTGAACATGGAAAGGAGAGTATTATTTTTTGTTGCATAACAAATTGCCACAAAACTAATAGCTTAAAATAAACATTGTCTCACACAGTTTCTGAGTGTCAGGGATCCAGGAACAGCTTAGTTAAGTTGTTCTGGCTCAACTCTTGACTGCACAAAGTTGTAGTCACCTGAAGGCTTGATTGGGGCTGGAGGATCTGCTTCCAAAATGGCTGTTGACAGATGACTCTAGTTCCTTCCCGGTGGTTGGGAGAAGACCTCAGTTCCTCCTTGTGGGCCTCTTTACTGGGCTAGCTGAGTGTTCTCAAGCCATGGATTGCTGATTTCTGGATCTCTGAGTGATCCAAGAGAGTGAGCAAGGAGGCTGAAATGCCTTTTATGACCTAGTTTCAGATGTTACTCTGTCATTTCTAAAATAAGCTATTCATTAGAATGAGTCACTAGGTCTAGCCCATGTGTCAAGAGGAGAGAAATCAAGCTCCACCTCTGAAAGGCAAAGTCTCAAAAAATTTTTGTACATAATTTAAAGCTATCAGGGTACATGTTTTGCCACAAAATTACACACCTATGTGCAGAGTATACTCCTCCCAAGGCTTCCAGAAGTTTTATTCATTACAGCATTAACTGGAAGTCCACGTTCTCATCATCTAAATCAGATCCAGATGTGGAACAGGTTTCTTGGGGTAGTATTCTTTATGGGCAGTATCTCAAATACAATTCCTCTAGATCTGAAAGCCTGTGAACTAAAGTTATCTGCCTAGCTATGTCCCCATCCCACTTACAGTAGTGGTACAGGTATAGGATAACTTCTATAGACATTGCTGTTCAGAAAAGAATGGGTGTGAGGATAGGAGTCATATAGTAATCACCAGTCAGTAGCAATTCTGAAATCCCAGCAGGCACATGTTAGCAGTTCATTGATTAGGACTCAGTGCTTGGAAGATCTGTGGGCTCTTGGCTCTGACATTTGGGTTCTATTCTTGGTTTTTTCCTATAACATACTTTCTTTTTCACAGATGAATGTACATGGGATAGCTGAATAGTTTTCTCAGCCTGCTTCCTACCTGAAGAAGGCAGAGGTCCAGAGACCTCTTTACATTTTATACTCTTTCTCGTCCTTTCATTTCAAGCTAGCGACATTTCTCCAAATATATTCTCTTAATAACTTTGTTTCCAGTTAAGCTTACTGGTGTTTACTCCAAAGAACTCCACTCTAAAGCCACAACCAGTACATATCTTCAAGGTAAGACCTTCTCTATCTTGGTTTTCTGTTGAGATAGCTCAGAGACAGTACCATTAAGATTCTTAGAAGCACTACTCTTGGAGATCGTCTCTGGGGCACACCCTTAAATTCAGAGGGCCTTAGTCTGATTGAATGGTATGGTAGTCCCCTCATGTGTGGCGGATATGTTCCAAGCCCCCTAGTGGGTGCCTAAAACTGCAGATAGTATCAAACCCTATATATACGATGCATTAATTTCTTTTTCTTTATTTACAGTTTCATGGTTAGAAGACTTTTATATAGTGTAGATCTTAGCAACCTCAGCCTATGATCGTTTTGTTGAGAACTTTCACCTCTTCACTTAAAGGAAACAGTTTATAGCTTCCCTTTGGCAAATCAAAATTCCCAGCATCACTACTCTTAGGCTTTGGGACTATTATTAAATAATGTAAGGGTTACTTGAACACACCACTGTAATACTGCCACAGTCAATCTGATAACTGAGACAGCTGTAAGTGAATAATAGGTGAGTAAGATATATAGCATGGGTATGGTGGACAGAAGGATGATTTATGTCCTGGGCAGGATGGAGTGGGACTATGCTAGATTTCATCACATTGCTCAGAATGCCACTCAATTTTAAGACCTATGAATTGTTTAGTTTTGGAATTTTCCATTTACTATGTTTGGATCACAGTTAACTGTGGATAACCGAAACTGCTGAAAGAGAAACTGGATGGAGGGAGGGGGAACTACTGTATTCTGAAGCATTACCTTTCATCTTTCTGGGCCTTAAAAAAGGATTTTATAGTCATGCTGTAATGTGAGGATGAGGATTTTTCACCCCAATGCACCTTTCTTCAGTGCCATGGATATGATCTTTGTTTGGCAGCAGTTAATTTTAGGATCTTTTGCCATCTGAAGAGACTGGGAATTTCTAAAACCAGCAAGTACTGGCTGTTTGTTGTTTAACAGTGCTTCCCTCAGCTTTTTTCTTTTTTTTTTTTTTTAAACTCAAGAGGGGATAAGATATCAGAGAAGCTCAGCTTATTTCTTTCCCCTCATGTTTTAAGCAGCAAGAAGAAACCAGGCAGCATGTTCAGCATTCTGGCTGGAAATCTCCTTGGCCAGATGACTCAGTACAGTAGGTACATTTTCTACTTTTCACATACCTGTAGCTGAGAGTGTTATTAAACTTTCTGCCACTACACAACTACATAACCCCTATCTCAATTTTCTAATAACATTTTCCTTACTTCCTTTTAAGCTACACTGCAGCCTTCCTAGAGTCCAGCTTTTAACTCAGGCTTGTACGAGAACTCTCCTTGAAGTCCATCGAGCCCAGTGCCCAGTTCCAAAGCCACTCCCATATTTTAGATATTGCTACAGCAGCACCTCCCCTCCAGGTACCAAAAATCTGTATTAGTTATCTATTGCTCCATTGTTACTCCAAACTTACCAGCTTAAAACAATAAGCATTTATTACTGCTTGGTTTCTGAGGGTCAGCTTCTTTCATGAAGTTGCATTTAAGATGTTGGTTGGGGACTTAATCATCTGAAGACTTGACTGGGGCTTCCAAATTCACATGGGTATTGGCAGGAGGCCTCAGTTCCTTGTGGAACAGTTCCTTGTGGTCCTCATGACAAGTCAGCTTGCTTCCTGCAGAGTGAGTGATCCAAGAGAGAACAAGGAAGGCATTGTCATGCTTTTTATAACTTAGCCTTGGCGGTGAAGTCACTTCACTTCTGTTGAATACTCTCCATCATCCAGATCAATCTTGATAACTATGTGGGAGTAAACTATATATAGATAGGAATATCAGAGAGTGAAGAATCACTAGGGACTGTCTTGAAGGCTACCACATGGAAAATGGAACATTAGAAGTTTTTATGACATGCTAAAGGAACTCAGATAAAGCTGAATTAATGGTCATGGTGTTGACTTCAAACTTCCTGGTGTGCCATTGTGGCTGACACTGCCCAGTCTGAGATGGGATTCTTTTAGAAGTAAATTCATTCAGTGGAGGGATCAAGATGGCGGACGAGAAACACTGCCAGACAGAGTGTCTCCGCAGAAAAGACAGATTCTAGCAGAAATCTGAATTAGAAAAAAGAAGCAAGAAGATGAGCATACAGCGGATGAGGGCCGGAAGGAGGGGTACCCGAGACCACAGGAGACTCCACGGGAGGAAGTTGAGGAGGAGAACTGGAAGCTGAGACCACCGGAGCAGCCTGGAGACCGGCGGGAAGGGTGGTGGATCAGTCACCTTTCCCCTCCCCTACATCTGGGACTGCTGGTGGGCTCCCCAGCTGGTGGAGAGACCTGCGGACAACAGCCCAGAGATGGCCTCCGCCAGCAAGCGGTAAGCCTGTAGCAGATGAGGCACCAGGCTCCCAAATCCCTTGGGGCACCTCCGTGTGCACAGACCCGAGCCGCACTGCGCCATATTGCTGCCTCCTCCCCTCCCCCGACCCTACCCACGGCTGCCCAAAGAGACAATATAGCCACCAGCCGGATGCACCTCCAGGGAACAGGACCTTCACTTTTGGGACCCTACAGCTGACTAAGGGGAACTCAGACTGTGAGCTCCCTACCCGCCAGCCCTCCCAGGTGCTGCTGGCACGGTGATCCCAGGAGAACGGGGCAGACCCTGAGGATGAGAGACATAGACCCAGCTTGGGCTCCCTGTGGGTGAATTGGGACTGGCACTCCTATCCCTGGTGGGGATATAGTTTGATCTCTGGGGCCCAGAGGTCAGACCTGCAGACCAGCACTGAGGTCTCGCATTGCCTGGGGCACAGAAGAGATATACATGAACAGCCTACTGAGGTGTGTGTGCCTTCAGGGGCAGATCAGCGTCCTAGACGGTAACCCTCCTCCCAAAAGGAGGCCGTACGCCTAGCCCAGGTGGCGTTCCTGCGCAGGGAACCTCCCTGCCGGCATCATAGGCAGGGGAGGCCTGGTGGCGTGTGGTCTGGCCTGCTGGCAGAGGCCCAGGAGTAGCTGCGGAGTTGGGGAGGGTGGAAAGAAGCAAGGCCCGCTCCAGACTGCGGGTCTCAGCCCCACCCCCACACCCAGACTCTGACTGAGCCCGGCCATTCTAGCCCCTCTAGCCCCTCCCTGACAGCTTTTCCTGGAAGCAGAGAACATAACTTTGACCCCTGCTAATGGCATTGGTGGTGCCTGAGGGCAGGCTTACCCAAACCAGCTCTGCCCAGACTCTCTCCTAGACCAGCCCTCACTGAAGGGACGAAAAGGACGAAAAGGGTGGGGCCCTGGGACCTGGAAGTCCCAGGGCCCCACCCACCACCTGAGGCACTAGAGTGCCTCCCTACAGGAACAAGAGCTGATAACAGGACACAAAAACAACAGCGTAGCCTGTTCCACCAAGCAAGCACCATCTACTGACAGGGACGGCATCCTGCACACCCTTTTCACGGCACCTACTGACTCATTATACAGGGAGTGGTCGAATCTCACCCACAGACACCACCTACCAGCTCAGAAACTAAACAAGGCATGTCAATACCCAAACACAAACCTAAAGAAAAGAAACAACTGATCGACATGGGAAGAAATCAGCGAAGGAACTCCGGAAATATGAAGAACCAAACGGAAAACACACCCCCAAAGAGGAGTACCAGCCTCTAGAAACGGACACCAACCAAAATGAGGCAACCAAAATGACAGAAGAGGAATTTCGAACGTGGATCATAAGAACACTCACCGACCTGCAAGAACAACTCAATAACCAACACAAAATAAATATATACCCACTCTAAACAGATTACTCATTACTAAAAGTTGATAGAGCTATGGCAGTACAAATTTTATTTGGTTATAATGTAAATGAGAAAGCAACATACAAAGATAAGTACTTTGTGCTTGCAGTTACCTCATGGTAAATCCATGAAAAAGAATGAGAAAATACTAAATGCAATTGAGTTTACTAATTTACAAGTGATTATTTTTTTTCAAATTTCTATAAATAATATGAGTTATTTGCTTTGAAAAGCATTCATCATTAATAAAAGAAGAAGAAGTAAATTCCATTTCAGTGGGTAGCCTCTTAAACTCTTTCCCTCCTGGTTACAAGATGAAAGTGGAATAATGAGCATGTGTGGCAAGACTGCTACCAAGACACGAGATCTTTCTTAACTTGAGTGCAAGCATTAGCAACTATGCTTTAGGCTCAGTGTTTAAATTTTTAAATATTGCTAAAGAGAGAAGAAGCCAGAGACCCATAGTACACCTGCAAAGCTTAAATATTTACTACCTGACACTTAATGAAAAAAGTTTCTGATCCCTACTCTAGGTTATGAGTTATGACTTAGACTTATCTGTACACCCCCCTGTATTCCTGTTGGTGGGTTAGTGCTTAGAAACTTTGGATGTGAATGGAGTGGCTCTGTAATTCCTTTTATCCTACCCAGTGATAGGAGTCCAAACGCAGTGGAAAAAAATGAATTCTAGAAAATGGACAAAATAGAATCTCTGAACGGTGTGTGTGTATACATGCCCAAAGCTTCAATACCACTTTTCCATGTTTTTTTTTTTTTTTTTTTGAGACAATCTCACTGTGTGCGTTGCCCAGGCTAGATGCCGTGGCGTAGATAGCTCACAGCAACCTCAAACCCAGGTTTGAGCAATACTTCTGCCTCACCTCCCAATAGCTGGGACTACAGGCATGTGCCATCATGCCTGGCTAAGTTTTTATATGTTTAGTTCTGGCTAATTCTTTCTATATTTAGTAGAGACAGGGTGTTTCTCTTGCCAGGCTGGTCCAAGTCCTGACTCGAGCTGTCTTCCTACCTCAGCTCCCAGAGTGCTAGGGTACAGGCGGAGCCACCAACCGCCTTTCCATGTTTTTTGATGAGTGGATTGGTGTGCTTCTTGACATGGAAAGGAGAGTATATTTTTTGTTGCATAACAAATTGCCACAAAACTAAAGCTTAAAATAAACATTGTTCACACAGTTTCTGAGTGTCCAGGGATCCAGACAGCTTAGTTTAAGTTGTTCTGGCTCAACTCTTGACTGCACAAAGTTGTAGTCACCTGAAGGCTTGATTGGCCTGGGAGGATCTGCTTCCAAAATGGCTGTTGACAGATGACTCTAGTTCCTTCCCGGGGTTGGAGAAGACCTCAGTTCCTCCTTGTGGCCCTTTTACTGGGCTAGCTGAGGTTTCAAGCATGGATTGCTGATTTCTGGATCTCTGAGTGATCCAAGAGAGTGAGCAAGAGGCTGAAATGCTCTTTATGACCTAGTTTCAGATGTTACTCTCATTTCTAAAATAAAGCTATTCATTAGAATGATCACAGGTCTACCACATGTGTCAAGAGGAGAGAAATCAAGCTCCACCTCTGAAAGGCAAATCTCAAAAATTTTGTACATAATTAAAGCTATCAGGTACACTGTTTTGCACAAAATTACACACCTATGTGCGAGTATACTCCTCCAAGGCTTCCAGAGTTTTTATTCATTACAGCATAACTGAAGTCCACGTTCTCATCATCTAATCAGATCCAGATGTGGAACAGTTTCTTGGGGTAGTATTCTTAGTGGCAGTATCTCAATACAATTCCTCTAGATCTGAAAGCCTGTGAACTAAAGTATCTGCCTAGCTATGTCCCATCCACTTACGTATGGTACAGGTATAGGATACTTCTATAGACATTGCTGTTCAGAAAAGAATGGGTGTGAGATAGGAGTCATATAGTAATCACCAGTCAGTAGCAATTCTAAAATCCCAGCAGGCACATGTTAGCAGTTCATTGATTAGGACCTAGTGCTTGGAGATCTGTGGGCTCTTGGCTCTGACATTTGGTTCTATTCTTGTGTTTTTCCTATACATACTTCTTTTTCACAGATGAATGTACATGGATAGCTGATAGTTTTCTCAGCCTGCTTCCTACCTGAAAAGGCAGAGGTCCAGAGACTCTTACTTTTATACTCTTTCTCGTCTTCATTTCAGCTAGCGACATTTCTCCAAATATATTCTCTTAATAACTTTGTTCCAGTTAAGCTTACTGGTGTTTCCAAAGAACTCACTCTAAAGCCACAACCAGTACATATCTTCAAGGTAAGACCTTCTCTATCTTGGTTTTCTGTTGAGATAGCTCAGAGACAGTACATTAAGATTCTTAGAAGCACTACTCTTGGAGATCGTCTCTGGGCACACCCTTAAATTCAGAGGGCCTTAGTCTGATTGAATGTATGGTAGTCCCTCATGTGTGGCGGATATGTTCAAGCCCTAGTGGGTGCCTAAAACTGCAGATAGTATCAACCCTATAATACGATGCATTAATTTCTTTTTCTTTATTTACAGTTTCATGGTTAGAAGATTTATATAGTGTAGATCTTAGCAACTCAGCCTATGATCGTTTTGTGAGAACTTTACCTCTTCA